CACCACCACTGCATGCCACACCACCACTGCATGCCACACCACCACTGCATGCCACACCACCACTACATGCCACACCAGCACACAGCATGCATGTATCCAGCACATGAGGTGTAACGCCACTCCACATGTTCAGATATCTTTGGCCTCGCATGCTCCTTGCTTGCGCTGCTCACTCCACACTCCCCTACCCCACCTTCACCGCGCACCCAAGCCTTCCACTCGTTCCCTTCCGTCCCTCTGCATGCAGCTGAGGTCCATCCTCCTCTCCCTGCCTCCCCAGCACTCCACACGTCCTCCTAGCTCAGCCGCCACTCCACCACCACCACCGCCGCCACCGCCACCGCCACCGCCCTCTCCTCCACGCCACTCGTCCGCACTGCTGCTGCCTGCCGTCCCTGCTTCTGATGAGCGCCTGACAACTGGTGGTAGCACAGCCCCAGGCTCTAACACTGGTGGCGGCTGTGGTGGCGGCAGTGGCGATGGCTCCGTGCACCCACCAGCAGTGGCAGCAGCAGCAGCGGCTTCATGCAGTGTGTCGGCCCACTCCACCCCGCTAGCCGCATCAGCTGACACGCTCTCAGAGAAGCCTGCTGGTGGCGGCGGGGGGAGGAAGCGGCAGGGCGCAGCAGATGGAGGTGGAGGGAGGGGGCGGGGGAGGCAGGGGGGGCGAGGGAAGAGGGCCAAGCACAGTGGCGGTGACGCGGGGCAAGGCGATGTGGATATTGCGAATGCGGGTGGGGAGGCAAGGCCGAGTAAAACCAGGAGAAGGAAGGGGCAGATGGGGGGAGAGGGCAGGTGGGGAGGGGGAGGGGTGAGGGAAGTTGGGAGAGGGGAGGAAAAGATGGATCAGGAGGCGATGGGGGAAATGCAGGGGGAGGTGAGCGCGTGGGAGGCGAGGCAACGCATGGAGGTGAAGGGAGAGCAGGGGGGAAGGGAGCGGAAGGAAGGATGGCAAGGTGGTGAGTGGGGGAGGGAGCGCGAGCAGGTTGAAAGGCGGGAGAGTCGTGTTGGGCAAGAGGCACAGCCGACTCACATGCAGAAACAGCAGCAGCAGCAGCAGCAGCAGCTCAATGCTGTGTTTGGTGTTGAGACTGCTTGGCCCCATTCCAATGCTGCTGTACAGCCTTCATCGCATCTCATGCACGCACCACCCCACCCCACTTCCATGCTGCCAGGGGCAAGCAGCATCACACGGAACAACCGTAAGATGCAAGGGGGCAGCGCAGAGCAGCAGAGGGCAGTGGAGAACGTGAGTGTGCTTGCGGGTTATGCCGCTGCGCTTCATGATGGTGGTGGAGGAGGAGGAGGAGGAGGAGGAGGAGGAGGAGGAGGAGGAGGAGGAGGAGGAGGAGGAGGAGGAGGAGGAGGAGGAGCAGGGAGGAGGAGGAGAGGAGGAGGAGGAGGAGGGGTGGGGGGAAGTGGGGAGGGCAGGCAGGAAGGGGAGGGGGGTGAGGAGGTGGTGCGATGGCATGCAGACGCGCATGTGAGCATGCATGGTGAGGGGCATGCGCACGTGCATGCTGAGGAGGGAGGGTATTCCGGAGCAAGGCAGAGTGGCAACGGCATGGAAGCAGGCGGTTGTGGTGAGACGGGGAGTGGCACTCACGCTGCCATGGAGGTGTGGCACGAGCGTGAGGCAGAGGCAGAGCCCGCACATGCCCCACACAGCTCTCACGGCCTCCACGCCCCCTGCAGTGCGCATGCCAGCCACGGCGCTCTTGACGGTGCCACCAATGCCACTGCCGACCTTGCGGGTGCTCTCGGCGTGTGCAGCATGGAGCAGTGGATGGCAGAGCTGCAGGGCGCACCGGGGCATAGCGAGGGTCGTGGCGAGGGGCATGCAGGAGAGCACCTCGCAGGAGGCCTGCAGCGTTTTCAGCGTGGTGCTGGTGGCAACGGTGGAAGCTCGCTGCACAGCCAGGCGGCACACCCACACTCTCACGGCCACCTGTCGCCGGGATTGCATGCCTGGGCCGATTGCACAGGTGGCAGTGGCAGCGGCAGCGGCAGTGGCAGCGGCAGCGGCGAGTGGCAGCTGATTGCGTCGCCTCCCTCCCCCCTGCACCTCATCGGCCTTGACTCCTCCCTCCACTCCCCCTCGCTCCACCCCCCCTCATACGTCGCCTCTCACACGTCCCCCTCCACCCCTCCCTCACTGCATCTGCCCCCTCTGTCCCTCCCACCGCTCCTGCTGCCGCCCCTCCACCTGCCTGCACTTCCCTCATCCGACCACGTGGGGTCGTCCCCCGCGCCCCACGACAGCCGCCTCTCCCACTCCAGCCGCCTCTCCCCCTCCAGCCCACCCACCCAGCACACAGGGGCAAGCATGGGTGGGGCGCAGGGTGAACGGGAGGGTGGGGAAGGTGCAGGTGGGGTTGCACTGGGCAATGGAGATGGGAGGGGGGCGCTTGACCGTGCTCTCAAGGATGGCGACCCGGGGTTGAGTGGAGGTCAGAACCATCATCTCGAGGTGATTAGGTTCTCTCCATTGCGTTGGTGAAGATAATGTGGCCAAGCTTGTAGAGAATGGCTATTCCCGTGTTGTCAACGTACACTACACTTACGGTATACATTTGCATGTGGACTCTACTCTGTAGGCTAGGTTGGATTGTTCTATAGAGGCCATGTTACTTATACCCCCTTGGTATGTCCTCAATAGTCATTCTTTTCTGTTTATAATGTGGTACCGTATCAGATGTAGGTTGGGTTACTTGCCTCCTACCTCACTAGCTGCCCCTCTTGCCCTCACGGCCCCCCAACCTCTAGCGGCCCCTCCCCCCACCCCCCCCCCCCCCTCCTAGCGCCCCGTCACACCCCGTTCGTCCTGCCCCGCTGCAGCACCGTTACCCTCCCCCGCCCCCCTGTCCCCTCGCTGAAATCTGCTGAACCCGCACCTACTGCAGTCGCGCCTGCCACACACATGCCCGCACCTGTCGCAGCCACGCCTGGCATGCCCGTGCACGCGCCTGCCGCCGCCCACGCCTACCACGCGCACGCCTGCTACCCCATGCCCGAGCCCTCGCCCTCACCCACGTTTGCGCTCGCCGAGCCTGTTGATATAACGCAGGATACTAGTGGATAGGACAAACAAGCCAAGTTGTGTAGAGAAGACAATGAAGTCTTGAAATAACCTTATTGATAATAATGAAAGAGAACAAGACGATTAAGATAGAGATACAAATAGTTTAAATAGCAATCCTATCTAGCCATGTAATTTGAGGGGTACATTCCCTTACTAACTGTATTGCATTGCTACAGTAACCGTGACTATTTCTAGACTCGACAGTTACCAGTTTGCAACGCGTAACCTCCGAGTACGGTTACTACCGTAGGTCGTCAACAGTCGTGACAGTTCACTTTCGGTGACTGTTGACCTTCGCAAGGCTTTTTTATTGCCGCGTGCTCTATATGAGCTAGCGAGATACTGGTACAGTTAGTGCTTCGTTGAGAGGCAGTTCGATAAGGGAGAACCTTCGGGAATGTATAATAACCTGTTGGTTATTCCAACACTCCCCTTCATTCTTGAACGTGAGCCACGTGGGATTTCTTCGAGATCTCGCAAAGGTTGGCAAAGAGCAGGAACAGGTACGGTCCTTCATGAACAGCTACGCCGGCGGCGATGAATTCGGCTTCGGCTGAAGAGGGAGTGGCAGCTTCAGGGAGTTCCATGAGATGATTCCAGTACGTTGGAGTTGGAAAATGAAACCTGTGCAGGAGCGTCTGTTGTCAATGTTTCCCAAGTGGTGTGCATCTACGTAGCCATGGAGCTGAAGAGTAGCTATCAGGTTAGCCGAGTAGGTGGGCCCGACTTCAGGAGTAGAGATAAAGTATTGAAGTGTTCGGCGTAGGTCTTGCATATTCTCCCCTTCAGGTCGGCGCAAGTACTGTGCGAACTGGCTTGCGACGTAGGAAGCCACATGTGACGGCGGCAAACAAGAGGCAGCCGAGTTTCTGATGGTAGAGACGATGGTCGTTGGTGGAGAGTGGTGAGGTGTCGGGTTCGTGATTGGGGGAGGTGTGCGAAATGGAGTTGTGAGGTTGATTGGTGCGATTGCGAATTTCTTCGAGAGCATTTCCGCGTAATTTGCGGCCGAGAGGTGGATGGAGGTAGCGGACTGGGTGATGTTCAGTCCGAGGGACTGGGTGACATTGTGGATGATTGTCACTTCCAGCTTCTCCTTGATTTCTTCTTCGAAGCGGTCAAGAATTTCGGCGTTGTCCCCGGTGTAGAGTAAGTCGTCCACGTAGACGACTAGGAGAATGAAGTTGCCGCGCGACTCTTTCTGATACATGCCTTGGTCGTGCGGCAGCTGTGCAAAGCCGAGTTTGATGAGGATAGTGTGCAGGTACTGCTGACACAGACGAGGTGCTTGCTTGATGTCGTAGAGCAATTTATGTAGGTGGCACACGGCTTTGTCGCGTTCTTCGAAGGCGTGCGGTTGTTTCATGAAGATTATGGCATCGATGATTGCGTACAAGAACGCATTGGCGACGTCAATCTCGCGGAGCGGGTGCTGCTTGACGGCAGCGATGTAGATGAGAATGCGCACCGAGGTGTGCCGTCCGACCGGTGCAAAGGTTTGATCGTAATCGACCATGTGAGTTTGCTCAAAGTCGCGCACCACCCACCGCGCATGGTATTTGTCGTTTGAGCCGGCCGCGAGTGTTATATTCCGAAAAACCCATTTGTCGCTTAAGATTTTTCTCCCCTTTGCAGATGAATGGGGGACCAGCTTCCAGGTTCCGCGGCGCTTGAGTGCTGCCACTTCAGCCGCCATGGCTGCTTCTCACCTTTCGCTGTTGGGGCCAAACAGAGCCTGGCGCACTGTGGTGGGTTCCTTGGGTGAGAATTGGCGAACTGCTACTGCGAGCCCAAGGATGCGGAGGTCGGTTTCGTTGGTGTCTTCGTAGGCAAGGCAATCGTAGTCGTGCATGCTGGTAACTTCGACAACGTCGTCGTCGCTGTCGTGGCCGTTGTGGAGGGTGTCCTGCGATTGATTCTGTGGTTGTAACTCGGCATCCGGGGATCGGCACGCTGTGCTGTTGTAATTTTAGGTTTCACGAGTTGTATCGTCGGGATTGAATTGTGATACAGGTGTGGAAGTTGGAGTTTGGAATAAGCTTGTAAGGGGGATGTGTGGATAGGTCATAAGCTGAGACGTCTGCTGCATCTTCCGCTACGTCTTTATCTTGTGCTGTGGCGAAGCTGTGGTGTCCCTCAAAAATTTGTTCCGGTGCTTTGTCAGCTTCGTGGTGTTCCTTGAACGGTGGCAGACTCATTTTTTCATTGAAGATGCAGTCACGTGATTTCATCACTTTGTGTGTCGCGTAGCTCAGCACGATTCAATCCTTGAACTCCTTTTCGATGCCGAGGTGGATGCCCCAGCGTGCCCGATCAGCAAATTTTCCGGTTCTTGCCGTATGAGGTATGTACTGTACCATGCAGCCAAACACCCGAAGCAGACGCGTGCCAGATTTTCGGTCCGTCCAAGCCTTGTAAGGTGAGGTGTTTTACCAGAGGCTTCGGGACGACAACAAGTTGTGTAGCCGGACAGCATGGTTAATCGCGAATGGCCAAAACTTTGTCGGGATGGCAGACTGCTTCATGAAGGCTCTCATCCTTGCGGCGAGGCTCCTGTTTGTCCGTTTTTTACTCCTTGCCTACTCCTTGCTGTTGTGTGCGTAGGGCAGGAACACCAGGTGCTCAATCCCTTTCTTGGCGAACAGTTCCTTGAACTCGGTGGAGAAGTATTCCATGCAACTATCTATTTGGAAGCTTTTCAGATTTAGTCCTGTTTGACGTTCGGCACGCTTCATCCAGGTTACGAAGCAGTCGAAGGCTCGCGAGCGATAGTCGATGTCGACGGCCCAGACATAGCGCGTGCAGGCATCGATGAACGTCATTGTGTTGTTTTCTCCGTCGAGCCCTTCTTGGCTAAGTATAATAAAGTCGCAATAGACCTTCTCGAGCGGTTCATATCGTTCGTGGCCTGGAGGTAAGTCCAGGAAGGGCTTGTGAATGAGTGATGCGGTCAGGAAGATGGTGCACGACAAGTCGGCAGATGTCACATTGAGCGTGTCGCCGCCAGGTAGGAGCAGTCTGCTTGTGTCAAAGACTTCGGCTTCGATAGAGTTTTTTAGTGTGGCGTGTGATGGGTGTCCAAGCCGTTGGTGCCAAATTTCAAGTTCTGTGCGGTAGCTGTTCGTTCTCTTACGATACTTGTTTCTCTCCTCTTCCTCTTGCTACGGTGTCGCAGGTCCTTGTCGGCGGCGCGTGTATGTCAGCTGCGAAGGCTTGGGTGGACGCTTGTTTCAGAACAGCCTCGGGGATTCTGGCGACGTCATCTGTATCTGCAACACGAATTGAGTCGTCGGTGATTGGTAGGAGCTGCTGAGTTGGGGGCGGCGCTGCTTCTGGCCATTTGGAAGCGGGGAGTCCCTCCATCGGAACTCGATGATAGAGATACTCGTCACTAGTGACCGAGATTAGCTGATGTCCTTGCTCTGGCGGTGGTGCTTCCTCGGTAGGTTCGGGTAGCCCTGCTGCTTCTTTGAAATCGTAAATCATGCCTTCTGACTCTTTTCGTTCTTCTTCTGCAGGTTCGTAGGGGTATTGGTCCGGAAGAGCAGGTCCACCCCAGATCGTGCCGCGGGTTGCCGAGTATGGGTCTCTTTCTGCCATGGCTTCGGGAGGAGGCGTCGGAGCTTCGGGATAAGGACCTAGTGGTCCCCAGCCGCCTCGAGAAGTTGACGATCCCCATCCGCCTCCAGGGGGAACTCCCGGTGGTGGTGTTATTGGTCTTCCCCATGCCCCGATGGTGACATCAATGTTGGTCCAGCCGGGGGCAATTGTTTCTGTGTTTCCCCATCCTCCAGTTTCAGGCTGTGCTGCAGATGCTGATGCCTCGCTGTCTTCTTCTTCTTCCATTGGTGGAGGTCCGGTGTCCCTGGGAGCAGAGGTTGAAGCAGTTGGGACGGCGCGTGAGCAAAGAAGGCCGTCTGGTCCAGGACGTTCGAGTTCCATTTCTTCAGGGCGTGACCAAGTTGGTGTTTCTGTGGTTGTTGTCTTCATCAAAAGTATCCTGTCCGAATCACCGGTGGTCCTTTGGGCCGCGAAGTTTAAGACGAAGATGCCATCGTTGTCGATTGCCTTCCCGATGTAAGTTCCCTTGTAAAATAATTCGAAGCTCTTTTCTTTGCAGTTGCTTTGAATCTGAACTCCGCATTTCATGAGTTTTGCTGCAGAGAGGAGGTTAAACTGAAGGTCGGCGATGGCGAGCACGTCACCAATGTGAATGGTGAAGTTGGTGTCGCTCGACTGCGGGTAAATTTCTCCAATGTCGCAGGCCTTCAGTCGATTGTTGTTTGCGATGGTGATTTCGCACGGTCGTCGCATCCATTTCGAGTTGCCAATGAATGTTCTTGACCCCACCATGTGCTGTGCACAGCAGCTATTAAGGAACCACTTGTTGAAGTTTTGTTGCTTCGTTACGCGATGCT